TAGAGTTCGGAAGGACAAGCTTGCATAAATCATTTATGTAAGCCAATATAGAGTATTAAAGCTTCTTCAAAAACTTTTGGGAATGTACTGGATTGTAAACAGAGATTTAAGACAATGGATAAAACACACCCAGCTCCGCCAACAATGTAATTAGTATGAATCAATAGATCTATAAAAAAACTAGCCTTTTTTATTATGACACCATAAAAAATATTATGATACATGAATTCATTTTATAGTACCTTCATTTAATATAAAATTAAGGTACTATAAAATGAAGTTATATTAGTAACCATAATAATATGAGAATACCATATCGTACTATATAATACGACAAAGCCTGCCGACCATCCTGCGCTTGCACTTACTGAGCCTTAAGTTTGTATGATTTGTGGTCGCTCCGTTGTACATAGAGGACAATTTACTATAACGAACAGACTGTTTTAAAAAACCCCGACCCATGCGGGGATTTTTGGATTTACTTTAACAAGCAGAATAACATAAGGGAGCACCCTTGCATCTTCTGAAGTATTCCCATAATACCTGAGCCCTCTGTGTAGGGTGAACTAACTCACTAAATTAATTCCCTTGTTTCATTAATGTTCGTTGTTTATAGTACTTGACCCTATTTCACTTAAAATAACTAAAGACCCCTGGGATGGAATTTGATGCGCTTTGGCACAGATGATCATGACTATAATACCATTCAAACAAATGTAGTTTAAGCCGTGGCGGACGTGGGTGCAGCGTCCATACATTTTTGCCCAATGTAGTTTTGAAGTACTGATAAGTGTGATTGTAATTCATATCAGATTTTAAACGTAATTACTATGAACGTAACATATCTTTAAATAAAATACCATTGAATTAAACACACTTTCTGGTTTTTCATGCCATGGATTCTGGATTTCGTTCGCTAAACATTGCCGATCGTACACTGTCTTTCCCTGCCCGGTTTATAATGATCAGTGTTATTTTATAATGCTGTTCCAAGTTGTAAAATAGTCCGATGACATGGTTTTCATTACGTGTCGTCTCGTCTCCATTTTTTATTCCATAGATAAATTATCCAGATTTCAAAAGTAATGTTTGTTTTATTTTCTCTAATCTAATCAAAGTTATGTACATTGGAGACCACGTTCATGGACTCAAGTGTTGAAATTGAAAGTCTTTATTACGCGGCGATAAGAGCGATATTCGTGATGTATGTGTATCCACTGTCACGGCCTTGCGTGTCCCTACATCTCAATAAATTAGTACTTACACTCCAACATTCCCTAAAAGTCACGCTACTGCAATCGACACAGATACCTTAGAACTTCTTTGGCTATTTAATTCGAACACCAATTCTTCAACTTTCCGTAAGTACCTGCTTTATAGGTCGTTAAAGGTTTATAGATATTGAACAATTGAACATTAATCAGTGGAACTGAAACTTAATGTTTGACGATAAAATTCTAAGTCATTCAACAGTTTTTTTCTAATTGATTTTATGACATTAAGATTTATGTAGAGTTGGCAAGCTGTCTGCGAATGCACTACTAAAACGAAGTTACTTTTATAGGCAGTAAACAACGATATTAACGTTGGCAACGTTTAATTAAATTGTGATATAAATAACAAATAAATACTCACCTATCGATTTAAATTGTTCGGTTTCGGTAAGTTCTGGGTGGTTAAAAATTTGATTTTATTACAGACCCCATTGTAAATAAAATAATAGTACTGACTGCCCCAGATACCTAATTATAAAAAACCCAATCATTTTTTCATAAAAAATTAGCATTTTCCTGTTTTACATAAAAAATACTAATAAGTTGATAAGGGCACGATTCTTTCCCCGAGCGATATCAACACCTACTAACACGATTACCATCATTGTTAAAATAATAATGAACTACCTATGTATCGATAAAGAACATTAAATTCGCGCAGCCAGCTACAAAAAAAAATATCTACAACACAAGGCCGGGTTTCACAATATTTATTGAAAAATTTATCCACGCTCTAATCAACTGAATTCAAATTGTCAACAATCAACGGTTCTAGGAAGTAATATGCCGATATTTTCCGTTCCGTCTATTAGTTAAAAGAATTTCTCACTTGTTTAGTTTACATAGGCCGGTACTCGGGAAATCCACAAAATTGTGTGCCGACATGAATGTACTTTACCTTAATAATTCATAATTTGTTTAAAACTCCAACCATTTTCTTCACTGTAGTGAACATCTTATTTTCGGTCCAAATCTTTTCTTCTTTTTATATTATCGGCGGTGTCCTTTATTGGATTTCGCCGGTCTCCAATGCTTTAGTCTTTAGACTAATAATAATAACTTTATTTTTTCTCCACAATGTCATACATGTTTTATAGATAACACTTTTCATTTCTGTGTCCAAATCGGCATGTTTGTAATGAAGCGAACACCGTGACACTACTAACACAGGTCACGCAAAATTTTAATTGATGTCACGGGGAAATTTCTATCGACAATAGAACAAGCAAAATTTTTTTGGAGTTTACTCCTTAAGAATCGATTTGCATATATAAGGGGCCCGGTATGAGAAAAATGTGAGGAGTAAAATCTATCGATGAATGACCTCGTAACGTTTTTGGTGCGCATCCTATGTCGCGCAACTTTGACAAACAAAGATGACGGATTGACATTAATAAAATTTTTAAAATCTGAACTGAATTTAGATATTGTTTCTGATAGAGCAATGGGGACAACGAGGTATGGTACAACCATTGATGCGGTATTTTCAAGATTCGTGAACCACGTATCTACGAACGTCCATGTGTCTTATTTTAGTTACCATAAACCACTTGTCACTGTAATTAATAATGCAGACAATGTTGATTTAATTAATATTTAAAAAAATGATAATAGTCTGATAATAATAATTACATAATTTATCAACATTCCAAATGATATATTTATGCACATCTGAAATTGACTATTGTAAAAAGTTTAATGTAAAATATTTCGTCGATTAGTTATAATAAATGTATATGAAATGAATAAATATATATGTATATTATTTTCATTAATTTGTTAATTTACCCTTTCATACAGTATCAATCTTTTTTAAGTTAAATAAACTATTTTAGCGTCTGGTTAGACTATCGAACTTAAGGAGTAAACTCCAGTCGTGCGTCGGAGTTGACACACACAATTTTTTATTTCGAAGATTGCTAAAATAGTATCCATTATTGTAATATAAATGGTGGTGGTTTTTGAACACTCCATTGGTTAGGTATTGTCAGGAAGGTGTTTGATATTTTTTATTACATCCCTTTGTCTTTAAAACGTGTTAATATTGGCTGTTAAGGTGCGTTATCATTCAAATTGTTTAAAAGGTTCAATATTGAACTATTCAAATACCTTTAAAAACATTTATAAGTGTATTTTTGAATTCATTACAAAGTTTTCTTAGAATTCGTTTATTTAATTATTCCATAGGAAAGTTAAATAAACCTAACGCTCGTGGCTTTTTCACGAAAAATCATCCTACAGCTGCGTACGGTTGCGGATACGCGTTCACTGGAACCCCTTAAATAATTGTTACTACGCGTACACTCCGCGAGTTGCAATGAGTATGGGCAGCGAGTTCCAGGGCACGCGTAGTATTATAAATCTGAAATTTTGTATGTTTATATGTTTGTTACTAAATCACGCAAAAAAAGGTGAAATTATTCGGTTGGAATTTGGCACACAGGAAATATACTCTATTAGCCGGAATGAGACAAAATATCCTTTTTATTACAGAAAAATATTAAGCTTCTGAGTGATTCTTAAACAAGAAAAGCAGACGAAGTTGAGGACAGCCCCAATAATAAATAATATAGTTACTTTGCGTTTAAACTTTATCACCACTTAATATCAGGTGGGGTAGAGTCATTTGCCTATCTGGCTATAAAAAAATATGGGTATTACCTAGTTACCTTAATTAAACACTTCACCACGACATATTTAGGATCCGGATGTTGGAAAAACAATGTGTTTGGCCTCTTACTGACCAAAGATTTGTATTAAATTATTTGAGTATTTGTTGAACTATATTGACTTATGTTAATCCATTCCTCGGTTCTTAAGTCAATGTTAATAGTGCGGTTAGCGTGTTATATGTTTTGATAAGTGATTGTTAAAAAGCAAAAACATCAAAATCAGCGTGTCTATAGAATCTTGCAACAAACATCTAATGAATAGGAATTCGAGTGCTTTTACGAAAAGTAAAATAAATATTTTTCTTATAGAAAAGGTTTTCCGATATTTTAATTGGTTTAAATTTTAAAATATAGGTAAATAAATAAAAGATATTATCGTATACTTTACAAATACACTTATGCCAACAACGGGACAATCGCTACCGATGTCGTCGGCTGGATAAACTTGGAGGCTTTTGTTTTTTAAGTCAAAATATGTGACTTGTTGTGGGAGTGAAAGTATCCTATATGTAAATATAGGATACTTTTTAGCCCAGAAAAATATCAGGTTTCTGTTTGATTCTGACAAAAACTAACTTTCACGCGCATGAAGTTGCGGGTGCCAGCTAGTATAAAAATAAACTTAGAATCTTGGAGGAGCTCGACGGCACAGTGGTTAGCGCGTTCGGTCTGTGATCGTAGAAATTGTCATATATGGAACTCCTTCATGCTTCTGAAGGCACTTAAGCCGTTGCTCACGACTGCATATCAACTATATGCCCACCAATCCCACAGGGCCCGCGTGGTGGGTCATGGTTCGTTCTCATAGAGCAACACGAAAGAGAGTGCCATAGCAACATAATACTTTTCAAATCTTTCAGTCATTTTTTGCGGGGCGGGCGGCATGTTCACAAACGCAATTTAACCTAGACACATAAAATAAAACTGTATCTACGACACTCACATATAAACAATGACACAATACATCGCAAAATCGTGTGCACGATTTTGATGATGTATCGTTTATATGCCCAATTTGTATGTCCAACTCGATAGAAGGGAAAACTGTGTATACTTATGCCTACTCCTCTCCTCGCCATGTCGGCCGTGATGCTCTATGTTCGTTCTCTCTAAGTATTCTGTCCGTATGCAGTGGCGGGACCTTTGATCTTCTTAATTCGGGACGATGCTGACGATGATGAGAAAGCTTGGAATATTTTGTTTACATCATCAAGCTTAAACGACATTTTTAATTCTGTGGACTGAGACAAAACATTTAATAAACAATACAAGTTAACACTACGTTTATTAATAGAGTCGTTTCTGCGTGTTATTGAAGTTATACTTCTTTAGGCGCGTTATGAAAAAATGATGAGAGTGAAATTTTAAGATGCGCGTGCATCACTGTAACACAAAATTTTAACAGAGCTAAAAGCGACCAACTTCATGCTGTTACTTTTGTGTTTACCGCACATTAAGAAAATCTACCAACAAAATAGAATCTCTATTTAGTGGGTGCTAACGACTGCATTGTGAAGGCCTATCAAAAGTATTTATTAATCTGGAACAACGGAACAAAAGCGCGATTCAGGAGACTACAGCGCCATCTCTTGACCATTGGTGTAGTAGAACCAAAAACCACATCTTTATTTTTTGTAATAAAGTAACAGTTATAGGTATTCATATTTATAATATCAAAAGTATTTATTAATCTGGAACAACGGAACCAAAGCGCGATTCAGGAGACTACAGCGCCATCTCTTGACCATTGGTGTAGTAGAACCAAAAACCACATCTTTATTTTTTGTAATAAAGTAACAGTTATAGGTATTCATATTTATAATATTTATCCACATGTTTCTAGTTTGTATATTCGGAATACGTGTTTGAGTTTCATACAAGTGCAAATCACATATGTTCTAATAAATTATATTCAGTAGCAATTTTAATTGAATATTTTGATTATTTATTTATTTTTTCAAATTAAAACTGAACTTTATTAACTGTGTCCTTTTCCAGACTTTTTATTAATTTATTGTAATTAATTATTTGCATGCAATTAAAAACTAATTTTAAACGATGCCAAAGAAGGATAACTTCTCACGCGCCTACATAAGTACACGCACCCATTTTTTTTTTGTTTTTTTTGTTAATTTTCAAATCATTAATGTTTCTGGATCACATGTTAGACATCTCATACTAAATGTAGCGTTGTTAAATTAATGTTATTTTCCCTTATATACATTACATTTACTTTCAAACTACTTACACCTTCGTTGCTTTGCTAACCTCTCAAACGATAATTTGAACGCTGATAGGCGTGAAAATATAGGTAATTGTTCTTCAATTTACGGGCAAAGTAATTAATTTGAGTTACAGTATGTACGCGATAATTTAGATCGAATAAAAAAATTATAGCGAAGCCTTATACAATATTACGGCTAATTTGGAGCACTAAACATTCGGTGGCAGCCGAATAATTCGCTGTTTAGAGTTTGAGACAAGAGTTTCGTAACTGAGAAAGACACGTTTGCGTTTTATCACACTTGACCGATTTATAAGTTTTTGTGGGCCACAATAAAATTGGATTCGTGGCGATTATACAAATTTTGCAACGGACAGCGGGTTTCACAACGGCCCGTTTAGGATTGTGTCTCGATTTCCTTTCAGCGAAGGTTACACCGATGACCGTGGGTGCAACGTTTGTTGACTCATCAATCACCACTTGAATAGCGGTAGCGGCAGGCAGGCAGCAACTTAAATGCACGAATAGACACTTTCCTACGGAAGTTGTTTATTACTTTATGACCACGGTCGGTAGTACGAAGGAATAATGTTTTTGATTCGTTTTAAGGTCTCCGTTCGGCAAATATTTTTAAATAAGCTTTGCCTAAGAATGAAGTAAAATAACACTTCTTTTTTGTGGTGTTGTGTTTTAGTCGGTGAGTAAGATTCCAGGGCTCCGCGGGATAGGGGATTGGGTCGGGGTAGGCAAGAAGGTGCAAGTAATATTTTTGGTATCGTAAGCGTCTAAAGGCTATAGTAGCCGCTTACCATACGCTTGCTCGTCTGTCACCCTTTTCACCCGCCTTTAAAAAAGAGAAGTTAGTTCTCGTTTTCTTTTTTTTATTTATGTACACCACACCACATCTGATCCGATTTATGTGATTCTTTTTTCGTCCGAATAGTTGCAGTTTAATTTATATTACCCCAGTAGTTATTATTTAATGAGCATTTTGTTAATTGAGACGATGTAATTTTCACGGTACTTTGTTTATATGTACATCGATAGCTTAAAGAATTCTGATCCATTTGAATGATTCTTTTTTGTTCGACAGGATATATTATTGCCATATGATCCCATTTAAAATTATTTATCGATTGATTGATTAGTTTTCATTATAAGAAGGAAATTTTATGCATTTAATTTTCATGATACTCTGTGTACGATTGTGTAATGTAGGCTTCACACTTAAATGGATGAAATAAAAATTATATTTTAACAAACAATAAAACCGACTTCAAAATCGAAAATTGAATTAAAAACATCGTTTAAACTTTACGCTACTAATGTAATGTTCCAGACAGCCAGAAATGACGGGCAAGAACCCTTTTTGATGGTTGGACCTGAATTACCTATCGGTGCTATGCCAAAGAATATTTTGGTAATGTATTGGTTATTGCTATCGGTCTAGTATCTTTTTGGATGAGTTACCTCACCTTTTTATGGAATGAGGACAAAAATTACCTTGCCAAATGATGTTGGTATTTGCTTACTTGAATCAATTTGAGTATACTAATACTTGAATCGATCTTAATGCCCTAGACAGTTGGTGACTTTAGTGGTTATCGCCCATGGCCTTGGCTATTTGAAGTTGCTTTATTAACTCTCTTTTCTTTCTACTCATTTTCGATATAAATGTGATTTTTTTGTTTTAATTTTGTGGTGGATAGCGCTCGTAGAAATATGTATATACTGTGTCCTGCAAAGTATTTACTTGGCTATTCAAGATTTGTTTAGATCCTGGGTATTCTAGCAGGATTGCCAAGTTTTGGTCATGCACTTTCCAAGTAGAGTTTTTAAACTAGGGATGCTAAGACGTGTCTTGATGGTCCTGGACTCCTGAAGGCTTTTCACATAATGGCTCACCTTGGGAGGTATGAGGGTTAGCTCTATCCGCAGTGTCTGCTAAAGTACTTACCGACGGCTGTCGTGCTTCAACTCCATCATTTGTTTTTAAATGTTTGTGATACCAGGCTCGTCTTTTGTAAGTTTTCCCGCACGTAGGGCATCTCAGTTCCGTTTCAACGTCGGGGTCGTCGTTTTTATCTTTTTTTTGTCGGACTTTTAGCTTTAAAATTTCCCGGGCTAGGCTTGCTGCCATTGCCCTCGGCTTTCCACCAGTCAACTGTCTTTCCAGCGTCATCCCGTCTCTACGGGCTGTCCTTACACACATAAGAATTTAATGTAAATATTTATTTCACAATGTTGAACACCTTTGTGTTCGATCATGCCATCTATCACGATTGATTGTCAATTGTTACCCAATTGCTACAGAGATTTATATTAATTAAAAAAAATTAAAATGACTCATTAAACATTGTTACTGCTTCGTTCTAAAGCGTATTTTTTTCACAATAATTATACATTTAATAATAAATCATTCTTGGTTTCAGTACAGCTATCACCTAAACATGTTCATCTTGATTACCTTTTTTAGGGTTCCGTCAAAAGGAAAAAGGGGAATCCTTATAGGACCACTTTGTTGTCCGTCGGTCCGCCTGTCTGTCATCAAGACCCTTTATCTCTGGAATGCGTGAAGGTATTGATCGAGCTAAAACTTAAAAGGTATACTGATCCCTTGAGGCCGTGAAAAAATAAAACTTCTAAGTTATAAAAGATACGGCCGGTTATGTTGCGTACCTCCAAATTTATACGGAACCCTCGGTGGGCGAGACCGACTCGTAATTTTCTGATTTTTTTTTAATTATCATACCTAAAATGAGACCAAATAAACGTCAATCATGTAAACTACTAGGTAATATACGTAGGTAACTCCTAATTGAATACCATACTTCGTATCACTCCATTAGCTTTAATTTGTGAAATTGTTCAAGAACTGTCATTAGATGATGTCAGTGTAAACGTACCAAAAATTGTACCTACTTACCTGTTACTTTTTAATAGATTTTGGCAAATCAAGTGAAAAAATTGTCACACAAATTTTTGGGTGATACTTTGGTATCGCAAATATTACGGATGCTTGCTATGACTGTGTTGGCTGCTTACCACCAGGCGAGCCATGTATTTGCTTGTCACTCTTGCATATAAATCGACGCGAGTTAGGCTGCACACACTAAGAGTCCCATACCATCTTTAACAAGGGTAATAAATATCAACAAAAGACAACTATTTTGCATGAAGACTTTTCTGTTACTGTAAGTGTCGCCACACACGGGCCACCGACCACAACCACAAAACACCGCCACCGGCATATTTCTTGTAGTTTTCATATATTTTATATGGACTCGCCCGCACCGGCCACTTAATACGCCGATACAAAACGTCGCCACACGTCACTTGCGCGATTCCCCACCCCTCTCTCCCTTACCTTAGTCGGCCGCTGTCGCGCGGTTCAGCCACTTTAGTAGCCACTATTATCTTCTCGTGGCGGCTGTGGCGTGTGGCCCGTGTGCGGCGACACTAATAGCCACGATCGCAGCATGCATTTTGTGAAAATTTCAGCTTTCCTTTTTCCGTTCAAGAGATCAACAAACAAAGAGGAAAACAAACAGCGGAAGCATTTTATAGAAATCCGTTGATCGTCGTTTAGATACGGAACCCTTGAAAAAATAATGTTTGACAGTTTCTTACAAATCTATAGAACCGCCTGGATAGCGGAAGGTGCGGGTTCGAACCCGTCTGATGCATGAACCGCGTGGAATTTTGTCGAGTAAAATATTCTTTAGTGGTTTAAATCTAGAGTTAAATGCTTAAAATGAACTATTTTCTCATAATAAGGTGAAAATAACATTTTTTTACACGAATTTTTAAATTAAATGAAAATAAAACTAGTTTTTACGGGTTAATGCACGAAACTTTATTTATTTATTGACGTTTCGTAGCCTTTACAGGCTTCGTCGTCAGAATAAAACTTTTATTTAATTTGTCGAGCTACCTTCGAAAGACTTTTAAGTTTTATTGTTCGATTTTTAAGTTTATTTATTTGACCCTAACTACCGTAAACTACCACCGGTTCCAAAATTGGGAAACCTTCCTGAGAAGAACCGGCGAAACAAACTCAAGAGAAGCTTTCTATCTCCTTCTTATGTTAAATTATGCAAACAAAAAGAACTAATAGTATCTGATGGTCTTGCAGTGTGTGCTCGGGGTTGGGATTTTATCTCCTGTATAATAGGTTCCCAAGCTGGTGGTATATACCAACCATCTTCCCTATTGAAATTTGGATATTATTTAATCTCAATAGCCTCGCGCATCATTCGAGGAACGAACCGCCGCTCAGCTGCAAGGATCTGTGGTCTATCAAATCTAATGTAGTGGTTTGGTCCCCCTAATGCATGTTCACACACTGCAGATTTTAATGAAATGAAATTTAAATGAAAATGTTTTTCAAAATTCAAAAAATTCAATTCAAATTTCAATATCGTTTATTCAGTCTAGGCTGTTACAAGCACTTGTGAATGTCGAAAAGCTACGCAATCGGTTCGCAAATCTACGGCGGGAGACCTTGTACTGAGAAGAACCGGCAAGAAACTCAGCAAGGGCTGTTTTTTTCTCCCTGTATTATATACAGAGTCGTCAAATTGAAAAATGACTCAACAACAATTGAAAAGTAACTCATAAAGTCACTTTCCATTACAAACAAAAAAAATGCAAATAATATAAAAATTATGACTATAAAATAAAAATAAAAAAAAATATATACAAAAAACTGGTTTAAAAAAGTTTAGGAATGACATGTCCTACCGTTTCGGCAAAAAAATAATAATAATGAACGATTAAAGTTTAGTACAACGATTTATAGCATCCAGTGAATTAAGAGCAGACTCATCTCCGCTGGCAGCACCCGTTCACGAGCATGAAGCATGAACCAGCCATCGCTTCGCTCAACCATTTTTTAGGGAACGCGGCCCACACGACACCACCGAAGAGATTTTTAAGAGAGCATGACTACTCATAACCACACATGGATACTATGTTACAAAAATAGAAAAAAAATATATATATAAGTACCAGTGTACATTATTATAACAAACTATAAACACAACGGCAGGACACATGCATGTGATTACCTAAACACTGTTGTCGATTCTGGCACTACTCTCTCAACCCAAAACCAAATCCAACATCAGTCCCCTCTTTTCAGTCTGTATAGAGAATGACAAGGATACACCGCTGCACAACCAAGTTGAGGTCTAGAAAACCATACCAGAACCCACACCGCCATTAAATCTTTATCAGAGAAATAATAAATGTTTACTTACATTTTCATTGCTGTGTCATACAGTATAAATACAAGTTGTGGAATGTTAAATAGAATCAAAAATTAATAATAATTATCATTACAATAATAAAGTAGTATAGAGCAGACTCATCTCCGCTGGCAGCACCCGTTCACGAGCATGACGGTTGTTCTTTTCTTTTTAGGATTCCACACCTCAAGAGGCAAAAGCGGAACCCTTAAAGGATTACTTTGCTATCGGTCTGTCCTTCCTTCCTTCCGTAATTTAAACCATATATACAGGAGTACGGTCCTCTGAAGCTAAAAAAAAACTGAAACTGAAAAATACGGACATTGGCTGCTGTTCACATGCGATAGAAGTGAAACCTAAAAAATGTGAACACGTAAAAGTCCTTCATGACTAGGTACTCAACAATTCTCTTGGTCAAAATTAAATATTTTAAACTACTTAAATTGTTTCAAAAAATGAAAAATAGCTTAATAAAAGAAAATAAATGAAAATGTGTTCAAAGACATTATTAAACTAATTACTTTAAATGAAACATTAATACGCTATTTAATTTAAATTATATTTTTCGCAAACAAAAATAATAATCTTTATTACTTAGATACCAAGTTTCATAACTGTACCTGCGATCGCACGTTCCTATAAGGAATTTAAAAACAAACTATTTTGAAGGTTAGATCATTAAAAGAACGCATGCCTATATGCTAGTCTTGCTACAAAAGCACTGCCGTAATCGTATAAGAAAATGCTTAATTTTTGTGACGGCACTAAAACGAATTAAAAAACAAATTATTTACATATTTTACAAAGATTAGATATAAACTTTGTGATGATTAACGAGCAAGAAATAAACTGTAATAAACATGTCAGACATTATTCATTAAATGCATATTGTACAACGTCATATACGTTATATTACTATTCAAAATTAGTTAATTGAAACTTTTGTGTTAAGAGAATCAGAAAAAACTACGATAAAATAATCAGCTACACCCGAGAAAATAAAAATAAAGCCAATTTTATAAGTTGACCTGACCGGGATCGAACCCGGTACCCCGCGAGATTGCGGGGTTGATTGATTACAAAAACACTGCCTTGCTTTTGCTATAGATACACGCGTACACGTATACAAAACACCACAGTTGTTATGATGCCTTTCCTCAAGCTTTTTTTTTCTTCTTTCTGTGGCGTTCTCCGTTTGTACCCTCCTAAACGTCCCATGACACTTGACACTTGACTTCAGTGATGTGAATAGATCATAGTTTTATTTGCGTTACAATGAAAAACCTACAAAAATGTGAACACGTTAAAGTTTTATTTGTTACCAGCTATTTTTATTTTATTTCTTTTGTTATGTTTTTCCTATCTTAGGTTTTTATTTATGAAAAAATACTATTCAGGTATTGGTAAATACTGGGCAAATTTAAATATTCTATACTGAAATTCTTTCGAAAAATAAATAATAGCTTAATAATTGAAAAAAAATAAAAATAAAAAATAAGGATCGAACAACCGATCAATTGGTGTCAACCCCAAGACCGATACTATTTGGCTACCCATCTTGTAGTGTTTGTTTTTAAACAGAGCGTGACACTGACACACGTAGGACAGCTGTTTTGTCTATGATAGCGAACCGCTTACGTCAGCGTAGCTGTCAAACTTCATTGATTGGGTTGGTAGCCTTGAGGGAAGAGTCGATTTTTCTATTCGACTAAAATATTCGCCTTGAGACTTATAAAAAAAAAAAAAAAAAAAAAAAAGTAATCAGGCAGTGAATCTCTGTGGGGGCGCGTGGATGAATGGATGGAGTTTGACAGTTGTTGAATTTTGAATAGTTTTTCCCAGATCGATTTGAGCCCTCCTTATCGGGTGCTGTTTTAATCGATTTTGAATTTTACTCGAAATTGAATTTCCTCGCTGATTTGGGTAGGTATTCCCTTTTCCTCAGCTTACGGCGAGCGTAGGTATATAGTTTTGAGTTTATTCTTCGGTTCGTCTCGAATGCGGCGGCTGTCTGTTTGACTGTGG